CCATTGTTTTATAAAACCAGATTATACAGAAAATATGCACTTACACATTTTAGAGATAGTTATTAAGAATTGATTTGGAAACTAATGCAGGGCTTAGAGTCTGGTCAGGTTAATTTTAATATAAAAGTTGAGAAAAAGGACATAATTACAGTAAAAGTTAGACTTCATTTTCATGCTGGCATAATTGTTAGCATTGAGAGTACCATTAGCTGTTATTTTTGTATGTTAACTTGGATACTAACTATAGTTGGTGAATAAAGGATTACATATAATGCACCTGATGTTTTGGACTAGGATCAGGGAAATGTTTCCTTGTACTAGAAGCTATAAAGAGTAGATGATACTGACTGTCTATGGAAGTATCCCATTTTAAGACATGGTTTATAAAATGTGGTGCATAATTAAGGGACCTGGGGTATCTGTTAAATTAGGAAGATCACAATATTGTTGAAGATTAATTAATATGATTAAGGTATTCTTAGGAAGAATGAGTAGATATAAAATGTTGTGAAAGAAAAAGTACACAGCATTATGTCACTGGGCAATTAGTTAATATTTAGCATAGTAGAAGAGGTGGTAGGAAGTGAGGGATGCTATTTGACAGCCAGTAGAGTAATATTTTATTCTGGGGGTTGTGGTAACGTAGACTTCTTTATATCTAAATTAATTAGTTCTTAACATCATTCAGTTAAAAAAAAAAAGCTTGCAGACACAGCAACCAGTTTCAGGGCTGCTGCGCACTTAGACAAATTGTAATTTTGTATAACAAATTACCTCAAAATTTACTGTCTGAAAATAATAAACATTTATTACCTTATCCTCCTTTCTGAGTCAAGAATTTAGAAGCAGCTTATCAGGTGATTCGGGCTGCTCAGGGTCTCAGGCTCAAATGAGGGAGGATCCATTTTCAGGTTCACTCATGTGGTTGTCAGCAGGCCTTAGAATACCTGCTACCAAGTACTCACATGGCTGTCGACAGGCCTCAGGACTCTGGCTGTTGGCCAGAGACATCAGTTTCTTGGCCACGTGGGCCCCTCCATGGGGCTGCTCACAATATGGCACCTTGTTTACTCCAAAACAAGGTATCAGAGAGAGCCCCCAAAAGAAGCCAGTCTTTTTATAACCTAATATTGGGAGTGATATCCCATTACTTCTGCCACATTCTCTTCCTGAGAAATCAGTCACTAAATCCAGCCTATATTCTGGGGGAGGAGATTACAGAAGGGCTTGCATACCAGGAGGTTGGTTGGATCATTGTGGGCAGTCTTAGAGGTTACCCACCACGCTATCCTTTAAAGTTTAAACTTTTTGTTGTTGTTGCAGAATTCTTTCTTGGAAGGAAAAGATAGGGGGGAAATTCAAAATATAAGATAAATAAATGAGAAATTATTTTGTCCAAAGCAGGGGTTCTAGGGAGATAGATCTTACCTGCTACCATCCTTCCCCTTTAGCTTCCAAACAATTTGAATATTAGTATTTTCACCATCAAATGTCAGTCAATAACATGAATATATGCTGTTTTTCTCATGTTTTCGTTTTAGAATTTGTCAACAGTTGTAAAATTCTAGCTTATAAAAATCAGGTATTGGGACATGGAAAACAATTTGTGTAAATGTTTCTGGCAACTTGTAAAGTTGAGGAACTTCCTTTACTAAAGTAAATCTAATGTAAAGCCTGGTTTTATAGTATTAGCAGATATAGTTTTTAAGTTAATCTGATAGTGATAGTGATTTATTTACTAATTGCTGCCTGGAATGTTTTATTAACTATTTCCAAATTATATGCATTTTTAAAAAATCGCAAGTGTATAGTGGTATTTGGAATTGAGTTTTGATATTAACATGTTCTTACAGCTTTTATGTTGTAATTGGTGATTCCTAATCAGTAACATAAATTACTTATTTTCTTTATCTTGCAGTGTAAACAATCTAGTTCAGGGGTGCCTGCGTGGCTCAGTCAGTTAAGTGTCCGACTTTGGCTCAGATCATGATCTCATGGTTTGTGAGTTTGAGCCCCGCGTTGGACTCTCTGCTGATAGCTCAGAGCCTGGAGCCTCCTTCGGATTCTGTGGCTTCTTCTCTTTCTCTCTCTCATTCTCTATCTCTCAAAAATAAACATTAAAAAACATATATAGTTTCAAAATAATAGTACTGAAATTATTATAAACAAATCTTTAAGTTTAGAATTTATGTAGTTTTCTTATGTAGACTATATCCCTCTAAAGGTGTATAAAATCACTTGAAAACCATTTCTGGATGATTATGTCAACAGTTTGATGTATAGAGTTAGATTCTGGGCATTGGGTCTAAATGCTTTATTTAGCATTTAGCATTAACTTAATTCCCAATACTGCCCTGTGAACTAGGTTTTGTTGTTATCCTTATTTTGTAGATGACTAGAGTTCTTGCCATTTAGATTTTAAATTAATTATATTAATGAGAAAATAGTATTGTTTTTGTTTCTCTGTGGATTAGTGGGAAATGGTGGATTAAATGAGGGAAAGGACACTATATGTTAAGTAACTTGGATATAAACTAAAAAAAATAAAAACGAAAGTTAAGAACTGAGGAAAAGGAAATTTTGATTAGGAATTGGGTGGTATTTATAATTTGGGGACCCTGAGGACAGTGTATCATGGACTGAAAAGGGAGAAAAGTCATAATGGACTCAATTCAAATATAAACACATACGCCCCAATGTTTGTTTACATATGAAACATCAGTAGTGTCACTTAAATATGCATGAATATGTGTATAATGTTAAATTTCATTATGCTGTTATAGGATTCCAAGTCCAGGATTTATGGTAAATAACTTCCCACAACCATAATAATTTCCATAAGAATTTTAAATCTTAATTGAAAATTAGAAAATAAGATACATGGAATCATCAAAACCAGTTGTAATTTAAATTGCTTCTAGCTAAAATATAATGTCCGAACCAGGGGGTAGTAGTGGAACTGAAAGTTAGCTACCATATTTTTTTCTAAGCAGTTTTTTCACAAGTTTAGATTGATTTTATGGAGTAGATTTTTCATTACTGAAATACTTGATTTGATTCTTAATTACTAAGGAGTACCTTTTTGTGAATGAGTGTTGTAATTATTAGGGCTTACACAAGATAGTTTTGAATAGAGCATCCTAATTACTGGAAGTACTTTTCTAAGCTATTTTGATAAAATCTGTCTTAGTTGAGGTAATGGCATGATAACAACAAATAGCTTTCAGTGCTGGTCTCTAAGTGACCCTTTTGGTTACTTTAAAATATTTTCAAGATATTTTAATTCTCTTAAATTAGTTTAAAAATGCAGTTGGTTCTATTTTAAATTCATGAGTCTAAATTTGTTATAAATAAAAACTGGGAATTCTTATTTAGTTCTTAGTGATACTTTTTATCCTAGATGATGCCAAAAGTTTGAAATATTTGGATTATTGCACCTGTATCTACTTTATTAATCCAAACATGTAGGACCTTTATGCCAGGTACTCTTCAGGTACTAGAAGTTAACTAGGAATCTGGAAAACTTAAGTAGAGGACCCTTTTGGTATTCATCTCTGTATTACAGTTAGAAATGGAGGTCTGTGTAGTACCCTGTTTGTATGACTGGGTCATTTAAAAACAAATGCATTAAACTATTTTTTAAAACTCAGATTTATTTTAAAATGTATATAATTTATATACAAGACAATTTATATCTTCAAATTAAGTAACAATCTAGCAAAAATCTTGACGTTGCTGTTGACTTATACCAAATGCAAACATTCCATCATAACAAGAGATGTAAGATTTTCATCAGAATTACGTGTTCAACTTATTTTTGTTGAATGATGAGTTTATACACCATTTTATCCTATTTTATTTTTAAAATATTTTTATTTTATTTTGTTATGGGGGGGGCGGGCAAAGGGAGAGGGGGATAGAGAATCCCAAGCAGGCTCCATGCCCAGCGCAGAGCCTGATATGGGGCTCCATCTCACGACCATGAGATCATGACCTGAGCCGAAATCAAGAGTTGGATGCTTAACCACTGAGCCACCCAGGCGCCTCTTAATCCTATTCACTTTTAAAACAGAGAAAAACTATACATTATCTTTGTTTCTATAGAATTAAGAAACAAAAACTTTGTTTCTTGAGGGCAGAGGATGATTATTTAGCAGCATAATGGTAAGAGGGAGGAGTATTACTAAAATATATCTCTATCTTCAACAGAAACTAGTGTTTACCTGATTAATATGTATTGAATTAAAGGTAATAGAATATTTTCATGTGAACTTCAAAATAAAGTTCTGTTGAGAAGACCTTTTTTTAGAAGTCAGTTTTTTGTTGGTTTTTGTTTTTAATGACAGGACCATTTTTAGACAATTATTTTAAAAGTATAACAGTTAAAACTATGATTTCTACTTTGTGCACATATTTAAATGAAAATCAGCATTCTTATCAGTGGTCTGGCATACTTCTATATGTGTGTGTGACTGGTTTCTTATTGGTGGTAAGTGGCTATTTTAAAGACTTAGAAAAGGGAATTTTATTGATGCTTTTTATCTGAAGTCTTACAGATTGTAGTTCACTGTGGCTGCTACACCAAAATTTGGTGAAGGCTAATGACAATGACTAGTTAAGAAATGGCAGATTTTGATCAACTAATTATACTTTTACTAATATTAAAGAGTGATGGTGTTGTTTCAGTGAAATGGAATAGTCTGATAGCTGATATTTTTGTATTAAGATATAGCTGCCATTATAATGGGAATTTAAAAATGAAACCATTCAAATCGTATTTTCTTTTCTTTCTCTTTCTGATAATGCCAGGAATGCATTTTGTTTCTGTGTTTATTTTGGTGCATTCATATACAGTTACCTGGTAAATTTACACTCCTTTCCCCTATAGTTCTATGGGTATTAATAATCTCAAATAAAATTAATCTTCTTATTCTGATAGAGAAGAAAAAGCTGGATCACTTACCAGTAACTGGAGTTCTCCTATTGGGTAATCTCCACAGATCCACATTCTTTGAAGTTATTGTGAATGCCTCGAGGACCAAGGAACCGTTGAAATTTCCAATTTCAGGAAGGTAAGCAAGTGCACTGAAGCATGTCTCTAGCATCTCCCAAATCCCCTCCCCCCAACTTTCTTACATATACGTCTGTACTGCATGCCCCCTCAGTTCCAGTGGATGCCCATCAGGAAGATTCTCATGCTGGACAGAAGGGCAAGAGAGGTGGATCTGTGAGGGAAAAGACCCAATAGGATAACTCAAGTTACTGGTGAGTAATCTAGTTTTTGCAAATTTGAGATTTTTTTTCTCACATTTCTTCTCTTTAGAAAGAATTTAATTACCAAGAGGAAAGTTGTTTGAGATAGCTTCTTTTTGTAAATTTGATGTAGATTTGTGGAATTTATTATATGAGTGATAAATACCTCGTTCTTGATGGGTGTATGAATAAGTGTGACGTTAAATTTAAAGAGTATCATTTACATAATAGTTGTTTTTTTATAAAAATTATGTGTCTATTATATTTTGGTAAATAGTGTAATACTTCTAAAGCAATTTAAGGAAGCTGTGTGTTGAATTATTTTATAAATTCCTTTATTTGTGATGTTGCATTTATATGAAGTAAATACTTATACTGTTAAAGTTATGCTTATGCCAAATTTGGCCAAATTCTTTTGGCATAGTACTGAGCAGCAAAAGTAATTTTATGTTAATTATGTAGCATTTCTTACTGACATAGTTTTAAGTGTACCTTTTAACTTCACTGTAGGTATATTTGGAAAATAATTCAGGGTGTGTTCAGCTCTGTTTACTACTTCCTTGTTCATAATAGATGGCCTTATTGATGTGATGGGTGGCCCAGTTGGTTCACTGTGGACTCTCAGGTTCCATAGGTATCAGACAATTTATTGCACTGGCATGTAAATGTTAGAATTGGACAGAATACCTTGCTTCTCATTTCTCTCATTCTGTATTGTACCAGGTTGTCTTTTTTAAAAGGGCACTTTTAACACATAAAGAGCCTGTAGTGGTGCTCTATTCAAGCTGTTTTATAAAATTTTCATCCATTTGCTAGGTATGTAAGACCTCTTATAATCCCATCCTATTTATCCAGCCTTAATTTCTCCACTTTGAAACTTTTCTTTTGGTCTTACTTGGATACTTGTTATATTTATGCTTTAGGGCTTGTGCTTTTCCAATTTTTTGAAATGACCTCATTCTACTTTTCTATACTCTAAGGTTGAAGTCAAGTCCTATCCCTTACATAATTCCTTTTGCGCTAGCATCTCTCTGTGACCTATGTTTCCTCAGTGGAGAAATGAGATTGCTATGAGGATTGAATTAATTGAATCATGGGATATACTTAGTGCCTAGCAGCACATAGTAAACACTCCTGTTAACTATTATTTGATTGTAGATTGATCCTAAACATCTTTTTATCTTAAACATTTCTGTGATTATGGATATAATTTTCATCTGTATGACAGTTTCACCTTTAAACATTATTAGCTTTAGGTTGTATTGCTGTTCCTTCCAGTGTGAAACACTTAAGCTGATTTGTATGGTCATTGAAAACAAGGATAGGATTTTATTGTTTTTAGTCTTATTTAGTTCCTAACGTCAGAGATTGAGTTTAAGTTGTACCCATTAAAAAACTAGTTTTTCATGTAGTTGATAGAAGAAAATGAGTTGTTCATGAATATATTCATTAGTTTTCTTATTTGTAGAGCAGGTTCATTTGGCTTATCAGTCCTGTTTGTAAGTTCTTAAGAACAACAGTTTTTTTCCTTTTAAAACTGGAAGAGTGAAATTATGATTGTTTAGCACACTATAAACTTCTGTGGGACATTAAAATAGTGTATAGTTTTAAGAGAGTTAAATAGTTTGTCTCAATTTAAGACTCATTTACTGTTAGTAAACAAACCGGAAATTCAGTGTACTTGATTTTTGAGGTTTGAATAACTTTGAAGATTATTGCTTGATTTTCAGAAATGCTTGGATTTAAGATTACCTATCTGAAGAAGCAGTAAATGAAATTTAATCCAGGGTTACTGAAGGAAGGAAATGACAGATTGAGTGTGAATCTCACCAGAGAACCAGTTCTCCCATTTAGACAAAACAAGATAAAGAACATTTAGTGAGATGACTTAAATGCTTGTTTTGAATTTGCTTCTGCACATCCATGTAAGAAGCTATTCAATTTTAATCATTTCTTTGGTATGATAGTAGTATGGGATATTAAGACTATCCTTGTTCTTTATTCTTTAGAGATAACATGCTGAAAAATTTTGAAGTGAAATATTGCGATGGGTTCACAAATGGATTCAGAAAAAAATGTGTGGTATATTTGTATGTAGAGAGGGAGAAAAGGAGAAATAAAGCAAATGTGGCATATGTTAACAATTTTGAATCTAGGTGAAAGGTATGCAGGACATTGTACTTTTCAACTTTTTTTGTGGTTTTGATATTTTTCAAAAAAAAAGTTGAGAAAGTATTTTAAAAAGAACCATATTGTGCTTCAATTTCTCTCATTCTAAAATGGGAATAATAGAGCTTGTTTTTTCCATGCCTTGATACAGGTAGGCACAGTGGGGTACATTTGGTAGAATAGCAGTCAAGAGAACTTTTAAGAAGTGGATTTTTTTTTTCTTTAAAGAAGAGTTTTGTAGTGGATAACATTCAAAGAACATTTCACATAAAAGTGTATTAGCTTAAAATATATCCCCTTTTCTCATTCAGAGCATATTGCATTATATTTGAATAAGAAGAACAGTCAAGAAGCAATAAATATGTTGAGATATATGGAGTAACTAATTGAAATAAAAAAATATAGCTAGTTATAAAAATAACTCAATAAATGGGCAAAAAAAATGATTACACTCAGCTGAAAAGAGAAATTTATTAATTTCAGGCTAAAACTGATAAATCTTCCAGGACACCAACCAGGAAAATAAAAAGATGAAAAATATGAAAGAAAAGCTAAGCCACTGTAGAGGTGGATTGAAAAGCTCTAGTATAGATCTGATTGGAGTTTTGGAATGGAAGATACAGAGAATAAAGGAGAAGCGGTATTGAAGAAAAAATGACCAAGCATTTTCAAGAATTTAAAAAAAAAATTAAACTCTCAAATAATTAAAGCTGAATTGTGACAAAAGCATTGTATCAGAACTTGAAGGATACAAGAAAAGTGGTCCTCAGGAGTAAATTTGTAACTTTAAATGCATGTATCAGGTTGAAAGAAAATAAATGAGCCAGATACTCAACTCAAAAACTAAAAAAAACAAAACAAAAAACAAAAGCTAAGAAAGAAGGAGGGAAGGAAATAAAAACACAAGTAGAATTTGGTGAAATAGAAGATAATCAACAATAAAAATGAGAGCAATGTTTACTCAAATCAACACTGGTTCTTTTTAGTTGATTAAGTTCTGGATGTACTCATCAAAAACCATGATGGAAATAATAAAATTTAAAATGAGATATAAAAAAAAAAATAGGATATAATGACAAGTGCAATTATAATTTTGGAATCACAAGACATCACTTATATATATATGTATGTGTATGTATATGTATGTATATAAACTTTTAAAAACCAGGTGAAATGGATTATTTTCCAGGAAAAAAATCATTCCAAACTTGTAAAGAAAATCATTAAAGAAATTAAAGTTGCAGTAAATTTCCCTGAGAGGAATAGGTTTTTAAAAATAGCAAATTTATTGAGCTATAATCCACAAATTCTGTCACTTATCCATTTTAAACGTGTAATTCAGTGGTTTTTAGCATTTTTAGTGTTCTGTAGACATTAACACAATGTTTTAAAATATTTTCATCACCCCAAAAAGAACTGTACCTATTAGCAGTCATTCCCAATTTTCCCCAAACCCTCCATCCTTGTGCAACCACTGATTTACTCTCCTTCTATAAATTTGCCTACTCTGACATTTCGCATAAATGAAATCATTCAATATGTGTGTGGCCATTTGTGATTCACTTCTTTTGCTTAGCATAATATTTTTAAGGTCCAACTATGTTGTAGCATGTATCAGTGCACTTTATTCTTTTTATAGCCAAATAATATCTCATTGTATGGATATACCACATTTTGGTTATCCTTTAATCAGGTGGTAGATATTTGGACTGATTTGCATTTTTTGGCTATTATGAAAGCCCTGCTGTCAACATTTGTGTACAAATTTTTGTGTGGACATACATTTTCATTTCTCTTGGATTATGTACCTAGGAGCAGAATTGCTAGATTATATGATAACTATGTTTCACCTTTTGAAGAACTGCCAGACTTTCCCCAAAGTGGCTGTGCCATTTTACTTTCCCACCAGCAGTGAATGAGGGTTCCAATTTTTCCATACCTTCACCGCCAACACTTTCATTATCTGTCTTTTTTGTTCTAGCCATTCTCATTGGTGGGAAGGCGTATCAGAGAAATAGTTTTAATTGTGATATTTATAATCATATTTCACGTATACTTTGGGGAACAGATAATTCTATTTTTATGCAAAATGGCCCAAATAGTAGCAATCTTATGTATGAATAGATAAATAAAAATTTTAATTAGGATATGGTAGGGGTAATTCTTTATTTGAAAATTATATCAGTGTAACTTACAAGATTTAGGGGAACCGTCTTGAAAGATGTAGTAAAAGTTTATGATAAAAGTCAACACTCATTAATGTTTTTTTAAAAACCCCTCACACCATGACAAGTGAACTTTTTCTTTCAGTAAAGACTGTCTTTCAAACTTTCTTTCAAGCAGCAACATTCCCATTAAAGTCAAGAATAAGCAAATATGTCTTTACTAATAAGAAAAAAGAGAAAGAAATCCAAAAAATTGAAAAAGGAAAAATGAGATGAACATATCCTTAGAACATTTTTTAAAAATCAACACTATTTTTAAAATTTTAGAGAGAAAGCATGCAAGCAAGGGAGAAGGGCAGAGGGAGAGAATCTTAAGAGAATGTTAAGCAGGCTTCATGTTCAGCACAGAGCCTGATGTGGGGCTGGATCCCACAACCTTGGGAAGCATGACCTGAGCTGAAATCAAGAGTTGGATTGCTCAGCCA